TCTCTCTCTCTCTCTCTCTCTCTCTCTCTCTCTCTCTCTCTCTCTCTCTCTCTCTCTCTCTCTCCGACCTGCTAAGAGGTGCCGCCTTGACACAGGTATGGACGCGCTGAAGACAAAGCTGGAACTATGGCGTTGCAGGTAAGTCGACAGGTAAGTCCTGGCCTCCACCTCATCCTCTACTCCTCTAAACTGGCTGCAGCGAGCTGCAGGCCAAGCTCGAAGCCGATGTCGTCAACATGAAGAGCGCCCAGCGCTGAAGTCTACCACTACTGTGCCCAGCACGTCGACTTTGCTACTGTGACATGCTGAGACTCTACCTCCAACTTTGTGTAGCCACAAATGAGGCTGGCCCACAGGGTTGCATAGCTGCCGACCGCCAACCGTTCTGCAGCCGAGCAGTAGGCCCAACCGGTCGGCGGTCCGCGGACCAGTCAGAAAACAGCCATCCACTATTTTTTTTTCAGATCTGCGCTTGAAGCTGTACTGCGCTCACTGAATTTGGGGAGGGTATTGGGTTGTTGGTTGGGTTATTAGGGGTTCTCGACCCAAAAAAAAAAAAAAAAAAAAAAAAAGAAGATCCGGGGAACCGACGACCTCCGACCGGTTGGCGGGTTGGCAGTCGACCAGTCAAGGGTCGCCGACGGTCGAGGTGTGCAACACTGCTGGCCCAGCTATATATGCCACTGGGCCTACTGTGGTGTAGCCAGGACTGGCGCCCAACTCAAAAATGGAGAACTGACGACCAAACTGGAGAACTGGCGCCCAGGGATCCTCACTACGGGACAAACTGAGGTGCTGCAATCTGGTGCCCAAAAGAGCACTAGAGCCCAGCTGAAAAGAGCTGAAAAGGAGAGAACTGGCGCCCAGTGCTGAGAACTGGCGCCCCGCTGAAAAGGAGAGCTGCAAGTGGCCTGATAAACAGCCAGTGGACCTGTATCGGTCCTCCTACGCAGTCAGATACCCAAGGATCTAACACATCAATACCTTTTGGAGGCCAAATAGCTCCAATTTCTACAGTAGGCGCCAGACTCGAATGAAAGAAAGCCCAAAAAAAAGCTACAAAAACCATTACTTCCCACACAATGAACACAATCATACCATAACGAAGGCTCCAAAAGAGAACCGATGAACCCCTACCCTCTGGCTTACCCCAAACCTACCACCGGGCCCAAAGGGCCTGTGTGGTGCATAACACACTTGCCTTCATCCCAGTTTCGATCCTCCGCAATACAGACATCAACAAGTGGTGCCCCAATTGCCTTCATCCCAGTTTCGATCCTCCACAATACAGACATCAACAAGTGGTGCGCCAACTGCACAGAAAGGAAAAGTACCGTGCACAATGGCACCTGGGATGCAAGTGGCCACAATGCAGAAAGGCCGAGGACTAAACAACACATAAAGCAAAAGTTTTCCCTTCGTTTTAGGGTCTATCCTCATAACCACTGTACAGGAGAGGAGAACAGAAATGCCTGACAAACTACCCTGCCGATCATCTGTACAAGACAAGAGATTGGCAACATGCCTACAGCCACCCCTCACCCCAAGCTGGCCGGACGATCTCTCACACAATAACACTGACTGCACAGCAGTCATGGCTGGGTCATGGCCAGGACACCATGCCTCTTCACATGTCGTGCATAAGGAACTATCCGCCCAATCACCGATATAAGAGAAGAGAACAGAGACAAACCTACACGCACCCTCCTAAAACCTGGGTCGAAGATCTCTCTCACAATATCAGTGACTGCTCAGCAGCCACAGCCAAGGATGCAGCGATCTTTCACATGGACCATTAAAAAACTCCCCACCCAACCACGGGTACACGACAGGAACATGCCTCGAAACTTGTCAGTCCATATCACCATGCTTAACTGCTTGCAGCTACATACTGTCACATACACGGCAGCCCCCCAATACGTGGGTAGCTCCCGCGACCTTCGGGGGTAGGGGTCATTTTTGCGGCCATCGACAACATTCATCAGTGGCCGGCATACCCCAAAGGGCGTTGCATGTATACAGCCCAGCTTGCAAAACAAATAGCTGGACAGGGTACTGGTGGCTTAAGCCTCCGTACCAGGCGGATCACCACGATATCCTGCGGAAGTGTTATCCTGAAACGTGTTAGGGTCGCACACTGTTCCAATGATTGTCCTGTCAAACATACACGCATAAAGCACGATTCACTAACGCGCTTGTTTGATGCACTCTCAATTCCTTTTGTAGACTTCCTGATGCCTGTGGGTGTTCGACGTGACACAATAGACAGAAACTACCACTTAGGCAACGAACCAACAGACACAGCCAGAGAGGGCCTGTGCTTCTCTATATAGTCTCTCAGTGCACAACTGTTCCTGCTGCATACCGGCCAGGCTAGGCAGACAGTAAAGGGATTGCTCTTGAAAAGTAGTACAATAGTTCATTATGGAGTGCAATCTTACTACTAGTAGGTTCTCTAAGACCGGCAGACCGAAAAGGATTTGACAGTCGAAAAAGGACTGGGTTCTTAGCATATCCACGAAAGATTACATCAGAAGTTTCATTGCCACAGACCCACAGTAACTTATTTTTTTAAGACCATGGCCTTGAGGTATCACATCGAACTGCCCGGACCAGGTAATCCCGAGGTCCTTTATTCTTCTGATCGCATCAGGGTTCGAACTCAGGTCTGTCCATCAACAGTCCATGACTTGTACCATTCAGCCACATGGGCTGGGTGAATATACTATTTCGAGTATTTTCCATCAACTGACTACAACTATTTTCCATCAAGTCAATATAACAGTTTCTGTCTAATGTTCAGCGTGCAAGTCCAGCCATACAAATTCCCACACCAGCAGCTCAAGCGGCCGCAAAACTCCAATGTGGCAGGCCTGGCCAGTGAGACACTTTGGTCCACTCGAATCACTTGGCCAGCTTGAACATTAGTTCCTGCAAAATGGCCAACTCGCGCAACAGTTGTGCTGGATACTAACCCAAAAACATTTGCTCCAGCTTGAACACCAGATCCTGCAAAGTTGCAGGTACAAGACAGTTGTGCTGGGTACTCTACCACAATACACGGGTGATGGGAGAGCAAAACGAAGAGTCGTAATGTGTCACACCGATTAAAGACGTTTGTCAAACTGTGCTTTTCTCTACTGCGAAACAAGGAGGCTGGAGAGCAACAGCTGGGAAGTGAACAGACGGCAGAATAAGGCAGATGTCCAGAAGCACTCGCCAGGTTTCTGAAAATCCGTTTTCGCATGAAGAAGTCGGAAAGGCAGGGTAAGGCGTATACGATGCATTACTATACGCAGCAGCAAAATACGACTGGTAGATACAGCCTGGGAATCGAACAGACAGCAGAATGTGTCAGGCTCATAAGTACGTATGACACCGGGCGTCCCTCAAGTGGAACTGGCTAAAATTATGGTGAGATGCATCAGGAAAGTGCCCAGCAGAATTCAATCGCTGACCATAATACTTTAAACAATGCCTTATTCTCCCATGGCCAAATTCAGGGCTGAGGGGA